ATGTTGGTAAACTGTGCATTTGTTTGCTTTAAAAATAATTGAATTATGTCGGTCTCATCTTCCGGTTAAGGTTTTTATGCCTTTATTTAATCTGAATGCAATAGTTTAGAATTATCAGCAATTTAAATGTGCAGCTAAACCTAATTTTTTTTTCAGCCATATTTGTTTATATTTAAAATTTAGCAGAATAGTGAATGAAGTCTTTTTGCAGAGTGATACAAAAGGAAACTTTTAGTTTTGTGCACCGAAAAATCTACCTTCTTGCCTGCTGGCTGACTTGTTAGCTTTTGCGCAGAAACTCTAATTTTAATTGTAAAAATTGTTTTTTTAATTATTTTAACTGTATTTGGTGTTTTATGTTTTTCTATACCTTTCAACTTTTAATGAAGATATTTTGCATTTTATGTATTTTTGCTTTGCTGAGAAGTGAGAACTGAATTAATTGAATGAAAAATATATCTCTAATGAAATTCGATGAAATAAGTGTTTTGTATTAGCAGTAAACATTTTACCCAATCTGTCTTGGACAGAGAAGAATGTTTAAGAGTAGTGCATGTGCGTAAGTGGTGCTGAATGGTCTGTCAAAAACATTTCCTTTTTTATTCATTTAGTTTCTTTTAAATATTGTTTTAGATTTATTATTGTATTTGAATAGAACAATTTAGCAACGATTAGAGAATTCTTCAGATGATATAATTTTTGTGCATTCTGAGTTACAAAATGAATAAGATGTAACAATGTTAAGTGAACCAAGTGTCGCTATGTTAAATAAATATATTGAATTTTAAAGAGTGCATTTATTCTATTGTGGTTTATGCACTATCATCGAAGTAGACTCAATTCAAAGAGTTTAAATGAAATGCAGGAAAAATGCATATAATTTAATATTTCATACAAGGAAGTCATGCAGTGTACACATTAGAATTTTTTTCTGATTTTGGAGTTGAGAAAATATGGACCCAAAAAATCTCCAGTCAGGTGTTTGCTAGCATAGCTTGATGCAAATTTTTTATACCCGGAAGTTCTGCTAAAGTACATGACAGTCAAGCATCGCATTTATCTTATTTCTGGCACATCATATATGAAGAACAACTCTTATATAGGTATATTGTTTAGGAGAAATATGATAAGCAATTAAAAAAAACCCCTTAGTTTTCAATTTCCTTTTTTTTTTATTTTCCACTATTTATTATAAGATTTTATAACACAATTTTTTTTTCCTTCCGGCAGTAAAGTAAGAAAAAAGAATTTTTTCCCCCTACATTAAAAAAAAAAAAAAAAAGTTCAGTACACAGTACTACAATTAAAATTTATAAAGGGTGGGCAATCTAATTTTTGCAATTTGAATTGGCTATTAAAAAAAAACTAATTAATATTTTTTCAAAATTATGACTTTATTAGAAAGACTGGACATTTTCATTTAAGAATGAAACACAATATCATTCAAATGATTGCAATAGGTGGCTTGAGAGTACCCATCTGATCAACCCAATTTTTCAGTACATTTTCGATTGTTTGGGCTCCATTCACATGAATGGCAACTTCGATTTCGTATTTCAAGGTATCATTCGTCTCTGGGTGGTCAGTGTAACATTTATCCTTAAGAGTCCTCACACACACAGGGGGGGGGGAGACACCCAGTGGGTCAAATCACAGCTCCAAGGTGGCCAATTGACATTCGGCTAATTATTCGATTTCCAAAAACAGTGCGCAAAAGATTGATGGTTACGTTGGCTGTCTGGTAAGTGACCCCGTCCTGTTGAAACCAAATGTCACCTATGTCATCCTCTTCAATTTTTGGAAAAAAAATTAATTTAGCATGGCATGGTAACATTCGCTATTGACGGCAATGGCAGCTCCTCGCTCATCTTCGAAGAAAAATGGCTCGATGATGCCGCCATACCAAAAACCACTTTGGATTTTTTTTTTTTTTTTTTGTGTGTGTGTGTGTGTGGACCCCTTTTAAGGATAAGTGTTAGGCTAACCACCCAGAGACAATTGATGCCTTGAAACACGAAATCGAAGTTGCCATTCATGCAACTGGAGCCCAAATACTCAAAATTGGGTAGATCGGATGGGGGGTATTGTCAAGCCAGTCGTGGCAGTCATCTGAATGATGTTGTGTTTTATTCTTAAATGAAAACGTCCAATCTTTATAATAAACTCAGAATTTTGAAAAAATATTCATTAGTTTTTTTTAAATAGCCGATTCGAATTCCAAAAGTTAGATGGCCCACCCTATATTCTGTTACAAATTTTGTATATAGATGATTTTAGTGCAATTATATGTAAAATTGTTGTATTTTTCTGAGTAATGTGATGTAAGAAAAATATCAAAGAGACAAGCTATGCCGTAAAAGTAAGAATATAGGGGTAAGTGCATTTTACATTGAGTAAATGGTCATCTAGGTAATTTGGTGAGAAATCCCCAAAAGTCATCAAACTTGGTGACATTTTGTTTTGGTTTGTATCACTGTAATAGGTATTGCAACTGAATAAATGTGATCCCTATAACCGTAATTCGACCCTCATATTGCCTTCCAGTAATTTCGAGAAGCAGAAAGTACTAGAAATATCTTGGCAGTCGGGTGAAAACTATACAAGACCAGAGACAGAGCATCTGCTATCAATTGTTGCGAAATGTTAGTTCAGCATGGTCGGAGTACCGAGATATCTCCTGCATAGCTTTCTATTTAGATGCACTTTACATTTCATTTGATGTTCTTGGTAGTTTGAAGTGCAACTACTGATTGTACTTTGCGATACAGTGAGCACCTGTACTCTGAGGGAAATTCCAGAACATTAAAGTGTTTCTTTTGATAAAATAAATTTTATTAACCTATCAATGGACCCATGTGCATTCAATCTCTTACTAACTTGTATGTGCAAAACTATATTGTAGTAACAAACTTCTGAATACAGAGTAGGAGAAACAAGAATTACTTATGCATATATTTTATTAAACCCATTACTTCTAAAATGAAACATTCTTGTTAATTTATTTCAAATGTTTCTTTTTGTTAAAACTCTTTTATCACTCTTCAAAAGAGAGATTAACAATAAAAACTCTTCAATATAGACACAGCTGCATGTCAAGAATATTCAAGAGATGCAATTATGCATTTCTTGAATATTCTTAACATGCAACTTCTTTTCACATAAAATTTGGCCACTCTTGATTTGTGACTGGTTCATAGATCAAAGTTGACCTTTCAATGTGGAAGTAACCTTTTGTGTTAGAAGTTACACACACACGTGTGTTCAGTTGATTAATTGTAATTATTTTATTTTTAAATTAAAAAATACCATTTTAACTTTACAAATGGACCTAACAAAGCTGTGACAAATGCCTTGTAACTGATTAATTACTATTAAATACTTGTGAAAGCAGAAACTAAAGATATTGAAAGTAAAAACATTTTGAATATGAATACTTTTGCAATTTATATTAATGCCTCTCTTTAATTTTTTGTACTTTGCTGTGGAATGGCCTTTATGCAGTCCGAGTTATGAATTTATTTACTCATTTTGTACAATTTAAGCTAATTTTATTATATATTTTATATAATCGTAACATGTAGCCACATATTCCTTTCATATTGGGATGTGTTTAATTCATTTTTCACTTTATAAAATTTGTTATTTAGAGTAAATTGGAAAATGAATTATAAAAACAGCTTAAAAAGAACAAGAGTGGGGGAAAAAAAAAAAAAAAAAAAAAAAAAAAGGTATATATTAGCCTCATGATCCTTACTGGGCAATAGAATACATTTTTGTTGCCATGTCAGCAGTGTGTGTGAAGTTTCCAGGAAATGCATTTTCAAAACTTGAGAACAGATTTTTATAGAATGTTTGGCAGTACTATTATATAATATGAGATGACTAGAGAAGTGAAAGCTGGCTATCATACAATAATGTGTTATATTTATTAATCTGTTAAATTAGTACTTGTTCTGATACCAATTTTGCAACTGCAATAAATATTTCATTTTAAGAAGGATTCCAGCATTGCTTTTCTATTCTCCTTCAGTTATTTTTACCTGTTTTAATTACCTGTAAAATTGCAAACACTGTAAGCTGAAATATATATATATAATATATATATATATATATTATTAATTTAACATGGTTATTTAAGTAAGTCTCAGAAAATATGGATCACAGCATTAACATTTTTGTTATATTCGGTTATTTTAATTTAGTCTCCAAAATGATTATTGAAAGAAATTATATATCTTACTATTCATCCAGTATTACTGCAATATTTATGGATAATAATGTATAATCGCATGGGACTCATTTAATTAAGATACTAACAAAGACTAAACAATCAACACACACATTTGGTCTCTAAGATCACTAAAACTAAACTCAACAGAGCACATATAAGGCATGTCAAAAAGATGTATTTCAGGTTACAGTGTCCTATGAAGTATCTCCCATGAAGGAGCACTGTGAAAACCAACAATCAAAAATGGTATAAAAAGCATGAATCACTATCAGTCCAGATTTTCAGCTAGTGAGTACTATATACATTACCATATAAATGATCCCAGTGAAAACTTATTATATCAAACATGGCTATCAAAATCCCAAAATCATTATTCACAAACTTTTCCACTTATCTGCTATTCTTTTTATTGTGCAGTGTAATTTTTCCACAAAAACTTATTCTGTAAACTTAACACAAATAAATATGTTTTTATTCACATTATTATGTTATTTCTTGTTTATTTTTTGAGCAACCATGTAGCACTTCTATTCCATTATATGCTATAATATTTGTCCAAACACATCATTTTGTTACAAACATTTTTATTAACAGCAATTATTTAAAAAAAATTAAACACTTTTACATAACTAATTCCCTAGAATTAAATAATAATAAAGGGAAAAGAAAAATTCAATTCAAAATTTTAAAAAAAAGTTGTACTTTTGGAATATTTATTAAAATTTTCTCAAGGGAAATATTAAAACTACTTTTCCATAAATATAACACATTTTAGTTTTTATATAAACACTTTATTTTATTATACATTTATTTAATAAGGTATTTTTTTAATATATGTACAATTTTTACATTCCAGATGTTTTTTAGATTTACAATAAAATCATTAAGATAAAATATCCTTATGGCACAAGGCAAAATTTTTTTCTGTACAAACATCACAGTGAGAGATAAAGAAATATATATAAATTTTTCATTTCACTCGGTTACCATGTACTCTAAATCTATACAGACAGGTGTATTCTATGTTTCCATGATTGCTGTGAATCTTTAACTCCAAATGCAAAAAAGAGCCAGCATCTGAATTCTGTGAGGGAAAATTATAAACATACATTGTCTTATTCATTATTTAAAAAATATCTCCATTACATTTACTAGGATACATGAACTTCAAAATCTCTCAAATATTGACATGGACCAATATAAATTTTCTCTTACTAATATAAAGTTTCACTAAATGTCAATAAAATGCATGCATTTACATTTGAAAGCAAAAATCTTTGTTTGAAATTAAATAATCCCCCCTTCAAATTGCACAGAATTTATTCAGATCATGCATAAGTTGCTCAATTTCAGGCAAATGGCATAAGAGCATAACATCTTAAATTTTGATACCAAAATCTTATACATATACATTTCTTTTATTTTGCTGCAAAGCCCCCATATATTTAGGCAATTATCTTTTTCATGAGTAACACTCAATTTATCTAGTAATAGTTCTATACCTGAACAGCAAAATATTGCAGTGGCTCTCCCTTATCATCATAAGTATATTTCCCCAATAATATTCCTTTGCTGTCAGTTTCAGATGCCAAACCCTAAATAAAAAATACATATATAAAACATAAACTATGCAAATATTTCATTATTAAAAATAAATTTGAATGGAAAACTATCCCCACAATTAATAAAATGTTACGAGAAAATTTTTCTGTATGCTACACTACATTATAAATGATTTTGAATTTTTATTTATTAATTGTAGTTTACAGATATATGGATAGCATTGATTTATGACTAACTCGGAAAAAACAATATAGAAATATCAGAATTTAAAAAATTTTTTGCTATGTTTAAAGTTTAAAATAAAAATTAAATACATTACCCAAACACTGAAATCTTTAGGTGCACTATCAACTGAACCACTCGGTGAAAGGGAAACAGGAATGTGCTCTAATGTAAAGCCAGTGGGATAAATTCTAGCAGATAATTCAAGAACTAGAAAACCTTGACTTCCTTTAAAGGCCCAACACTGTCCAGGATTCACATCTGGCTGAAATATTTGAAGAGAACTCATAGAATTGTATAACTTAAGTTGAAAATTTGGTTTCAAAATATTCTATAATGATTTTTAATGATAACGCTTCCACTTAACATATACAGTCAAAAGTCGTTAATTCGGACACCCATAATCCGGACCTCAAAGCTAAAAACTTTCTGCGCATGCGCCGCGTTGACACATGCGCATAGGCGTTTACGATGCGCACGCGCATATGCGTGCAGAATACGTTTTTGCGTGCGCGTTTAACGTATAACGGACGATATAAGCTAAAATTATACAATTATCTATTTCAGTTAATGTTGATGCTTGCGTTATTCCTTAATCTTCGAATTGGATGCAGCTTCTTATTTTTGCAGACTGTAAGAGCAAATTTTATAAAAGTAAACTTGAACTTTCGATTATGTCAATTTCCGATTCTGGAGCTCCCAAAGGATCTACAAAACGAAAGTATGTCTCGATGTCCGTCAAACAAAAAGTGGAATTGCTGCAAAAAATGGATAAAGACATGAAGAAGGTGACAGAGAGGTTAGTGAAAACGAAAATATTTCGATTGACAAGTTAGTCGGTATTCTCGGCACAGCAATTACAGGACTTGAACAGCGGAACTTTTTAACTGAACAAGAAATTATGTCTGTTTATAGAATTAAAAAGAAAGTATTATCACATAAAACGAAACAACTTACATTGAAAGAAATGTTTAATAAAGTAAAAAAATAAATATTAAGCTTCTTTTTTTGTAAATTTTGATACCCTTTAGATCATAATTGTTCTTTATTTCCTAAAATACGGTTTCATATTTTTAATTTTAGAATTTGTGCATGCCATCTTACGAGATTTAAACTGATGATTTATAATCCGGAAAAATCGATAATCCGGAATCGCCGAAGTCCCGACGAGTCCAGATTAACGACTTTTGACTGTATTACCTCAGTAAAACAAACCCAAACAAAAATTTACTTGCTATATTAATATACATAATAATACATTACCATTTGATTGCATTGGGGATAAATATATCCTGTACTTCTGACTGACCAGTATTTCTTTTATGTGCATGAAGTGGTTAATGAGCTTTCTAAAAATTTCAGTTTGCAATTAGCTCAGGAATGCGACATCCTTTGGTTAGCAAAATGCTAGAAAATTCTTGAGCTCAGTTTTGTGATGGATATTTCTTAAAATTAAACGAACATTCATTAATCCTTGATAAGTTGCCAAATTATGGCACCTAGTCCTTGAATAAGTAAATTTAATAGCGCAATTTATTTCACTAAGAATTGAAATTTATATGAAACTTGCTGGAATATCATAATAAGCAGCGAGTACATATATTTACCGGACTTGAATTATTTTACATTGAGTTTTAAACCAGTGCTGGGTAATATGCCAAATACAACAGCATTACTAATTATTCTGAAGTAGTGTCTATGTTAAATACTAAGCACAATTAATAACTTTTGTCTCTGTAGGTTGTATTTCTTATGTGTGCAAGGTAAAAAATAAAGTGATGTACTTCTTTAAACAGGACTTGTATTACAAACATATTTTCATAAAAAATAATTTTGAGATTTTTATGCTTGTATTTGGTAAGAAACTTAAATTTATTCCTAAACACTTCAGGTATCTTTAGTTGTAAAAACTGGGAGAATACAAACATTTTAAAAATTTTTTTTAATAAAATCAAAGAAAGAAACTTCTCTCAAAGAAACTGAAGTGCAATTTCTCAAGAATACATTAAGTACATATCTATATAACAAACTTCAATGAGTCCATTTAAGTTCACATAAATTTTAAACTGTTGAAAAAGAATTCTGCAAATAAAGTTTATTCATTATTAAAACACTTTTCAGAGACTTAAAGTATCCTCAAAATTTTTTCTAATGTTATAATATTTTCATGATCATTTTTGGTATCCTTTAAGCATCCAGTTTAACAATAATAAAATTTCTAATCCAGAAGATCAAAGGAAAAAAATTTTTAAATCAACATTATTTATAATTAAGAATTAATAATACAACAGTTTCAACCTTCACCCTTAAACCAGTTCCTTATGCATAAGGCTTAAATTTAGCTGAAGCCTAGTTCCACTACTTCCTAGTTTTTAAGTGAAACAATAATTCCAGCTGGATCCCAAAACAAAAGAAACAAGAATGTTTTAATTCATTATTTAGTTACTCATCATTAATCCTTAATAAGTCATCAAACTTAATTCTTTATCTATTACTAATATTATTATTATTTATTCTTAATATACTTCCACATATTACGGTCTACAACTCACACTTTTAATACAAGAAATAATATCAAAATTTGTGGATGCGCAATTAAACACCAGATAAAAAATGATAGATTAAAAAATAGGGAAAAAAATAAGCATATAAAAATTAGGTTTCTACATATATCTCTACCTGTTTATTCAAAAGAAATGCCTTATGAACTTAATTTTCATTATCGGATAACATGAAATGATATTTATCTTCCATTATATCTTCGGGCACACCAATAAATTCTATTTCATCTACAAAACAGTTACTCTGACCCATAAATACCCAAATCACGTTGGGTCAAACGTGACCCAAATCATGTTTGATTCCATCTAGAATGTTAGATGTACTGCATTTTTTAAATAACTTCTAAATTATGACAGGTTTAATTTCATTCCATGCTTTCATTATCGATTCACACACTATTCCTAGGCCGGTATGACGAATTTGGCTTACTTTCACAAATGATTTTCACCTTCTAATATCCATGTATTCCATGTCATTTTAAATTTCCTTTGAATGGATTATCGATACACATATCTAAAACCTGAACTAATGGCATTAATCCACCTGGAATAGCTGCCATGTCTACACGACATCATATTATGGGATCTGCACATGCCCTAAACTAAAAGACTTTATGGATTCTTAAATGAAACAGAACATTTTTGCGAAACTGAACCATTTCTTATCCACAATTTCACATCATTTTTATCCACCCATCCTTTCTCGTGAACATGAATGTAAATGCCATTTGGGAAATAACGTTTCAGCATCATCTTTCTTTTAAAAATAATCAGGGGTTATAATTTATTACAATCCACTAAGCAAGAGGACTATGATGAGGTGAGATTTTTCGTGACCTGTTGTTTTTATATGAACGGTTTTTATTCCTTTCACATAATGTGTTTTATTTCCTATTATATCAAACATTACTGAAGTCTCAACCATATTTCTAATATGTAACAGTAAATAATTTTTTTTTTTTTTTTTTTTTTTTTTTTGCCTTCGTAGATCAATAACATACTTGTAGAAACATATCAATATGTTGTCCAAATCTTTCGAAAGCATTCGCAAAACTTTAGTCTTTTTTCCTCCCTTAGAGTTAAATTATTTCCTGCTATAAATTAACTATACCAACTGAAAGTTGCTATAAAATTTTCACTTTCATTTGCATTCTCTTTTGCCTACTTTAAAGCAAATACATGTACTTTGTATCTTGTTACAATAAATCCATTCTGGTGATTTTCTACGACCCAGTTTGCAACACTTTCTTCTAGGATATGCCATTTACTTACATTTAGTTAGGAGCTGCTATTAGTCATGAAACTAACTTTTTCCCTGCATCATTTCTCAAGCTGTTGCCATCAAATGTTATCAAGATATATTATTTAAAAAAAAACTTAATGAAGAATCTGTACCTAAGTATGTATGTTCCTTGCACTGTAGGAAAATGACAGCACATAAAAGTCACTGAATTTTGAACACAGCTAATCCTCCACGTGAGCATGAGCACCTCAAAGACTGAATTTTTGAATTTATTTCATATTTTATACAAATTTAAAGAAATTTTGTTTCAGAATCAGTGATTTATGAGATAATAGTGAGAAATAGCAGCACTGCTCAAAATTTAAAAAACAAATTCTCAGGCATACCAGACTTTTGCCATTTAGCAAAATGTAACACATTTATTTTTCAATTTTAATCTACAAGCTTGGCTGTTTGAAAGCAAAGTACTACTGCCTCAAATAGAATACAGAAGTCCGAGATCCGGACGTCTAATATGCGGATCTCAAAGCCCCCACCAAACAATTTTTTTTTGGGGGGGGGTATGCTTCACGCATGCACGTTTGATTTTTTCCCCTCATAATAAAACATGCGAAGAGTCCCGATTCTTAATCTCATTTAGGCACTAAATAAAATGCCTCATTATTGAAGAAATAATCATTTTAGCATAAATTTGGGTGATTAATAATTTGACTCCGTAACTGCGTATCTGCTTGGCATACATCTTAAGCCACAAGATTCTTCATAGAAACATTGTTGATTTTATACCAACTAATATTTTATATCCTTGACACCAACCTGACGAATCATTAAATTTTGCTTTCATGTTTATCAACACATGACAACTTGAGTGATGACTCATGCAGCGATGCCTAAACAGATTTGTTATACTAGCAATTGAATAACAAAGAGTATTCTTTGATTACAGATTTAAATTACCATATTTGCTGACTTATAAGACGAATTTTTTTTTCTTTGAAAATAGGTCTGAAAAACAGAGTGCATCTTATACATCCGATACTCGGTTTTTGATTACACTCATTTTTGAAAAATTTCCTCTATTCGGATTTTTTTTTAATACATGCGATTTTTTTATTGTTTCCTTGTGGAGTGTGGGAATATTACAGTAATGTAGAGTTCAGTGAATGCGCATGTACTGTCATCGATAATCACAGCTGGGTTCGTTTAAACTTTCTAATTTTTGTGAACGACTTTTAAGTGTGTGAAATTTCTACTATTCAATTTTCTTAAATTTATTGGCAAGTTATGGCTCAAAAACAATGTCGGCATTGCTATAACATACATATGATACAAATTTTGAGATTACACCATCAAAAAGAAGGAAGATGGGTCAAAGCTTCATGGGACGTTGTGAATACAGAGACAGTGGTTAAATCATTTAAGAAGTGTGGCATTAGTAATGCACTGAAGGGTACAGAGGAC